AAATTCCAAAAATTTGTAAGGTCAAGATTAAAACGAGATCAAGATAGTGGGGAATTCGATTTTACCAGAGGGTTCTACCAGGGGTCTCTATCTAAGCATTGTACAGTCTCAAGGTACCATCTCCTGCTAGGTGTTTTAATGGGTACTGGCAAATTTCAAGGAAACCCGGTCCCTTCCAGTAATCTATTGCTCGGAAATTATCATGCACTGGTACAAGCTGAATTTCCGGAGGGAGCCATACCCTACAATGAAATGTACTGCAGTGAAGATCTCTCCCCCGAAAGGGGTACCTTACTCAAGGGGAAGTTATTTCAAAGGGTACAGAGTTAATGAGTTCCATAGTGTAGAAAAGGCCGGATAGGGAAAAGTGCCACCTATCCGATTCCAAAAGCCCTTTCAAAATATCTCGAACTAAAGTACTCCACGGCTGTGTCTTGCAAGTATTTAAAGGTGTACTCCACGCAAGCTTATAGAAAAGGAATGCAGTGTACCTATACTGTCACGGTACGTCAAAGGGAATTGACGGAAGGACCTTTTGGTCAATTTGTAACGGTTTTTGAAGTTAGAAGGTCTTAGACCTCGTTGTTTAAAGGCTCAGTAAGGGGCCCCTTTGCCCATTTAATGACTTTGCTATGGCGCCCCTTTATTACCTTAGGGATACAACTAACTTAAAAACGCACGTCTAACTTGGAACACTTTGATTTGATGCACTTTTAGGTACGAGATCTATCTGGATGAGGTGAAACCTGGTGATCTTAGCGTTAACTTTCTTCGAGAATTTATGGAACTTCCCTTGTCTTATTTTGCACCTGGGGCTGCAATGAAATTTCGTAAGTGACCATTTACTCAGGTATTTAGCTTCTCGTTCTCCTGTAAAGCAGATTGGTGTTTATCGCTTTTGACTCCCCAAAGTTGGGCTGGGTCACAGTGTTGGAGTCTAGCGTAACATGCATGCATGAATTTTTTCACCATGGCACAAAATCCACGATCTTTGACCAGAGTGCATGCCGTAATTTTAATTGCACGAGACCTGTTGAAATGTGATTTCCTGTAAGAATAACCAATCCCTCCCATACGCTGATTATGGATTTCGAAATCCCCACAAAATTGCCGTCAATCCACATTTTTTTAATACCACGCGGTACATGCTATTGGAGCGATCGTTGACGACGTTTAAACGTAGATAGAGCGACATGCTGAGGTCAGTCTTGCTATATGTTTTTTTTTTTAAAAAAAGTTCAACTGACTCTAGTTGAATTATCTGACAGAAGTAAACACTTTTGTCCATTTTATTTTTTCTCAGAAAACTTCATTCTTCGTTGGGGAACGCATTACATAACATCTGGTAAATTTGGTGGCCGCCTTCAGATTCGAAAGACGATGGACGCTAGTCAAGTTTCAAGCAAGCAAGCGTTCAGTCAAGTCATGGAAGTAGAGTTTAGAAGCTTATTTGCAAGCTTTCATGGAAAGACGGAGACGCATGAGAGTTCCAGCCAGAGACAGCAGAAGCAGACGTCTTCAACCTCCATAAAAGCAGAAGGCGGAGATCAAGAGATAGCTGCCCTCATCACTGATTTCAACTCGCCAACAATTAAAACGGAGCTGAAACAATGGCTCGAGTCTATCCGCACTTTCCCAAAACCATACAAGTTTATGCTGGCGCCCATCACGGACCTACTAAAGTTCAATGCACACTCTCTTTTCCCTCAAGATGATAGAGATTGGGGCTGCGAAGGGCACAAGGACAGCCTCAAAAAAGATCCAGACACCGGAGAGAATTACTATGAAGTCAAAGTTAATGGCACCACGGTCAGAAAGTTCTGTAAGTATCTGGACAGAGAAAGCCTTATGTACGACATCGAGCGGAGAAGAAACAGTCTGGAAAGAGCTATTGGTGTTTATATGGAAGAGGTAATCAAGAGTGGGATAAAGCAGAGTCTCAAAACTAAAATACTGAACTAATAACTTAACGCTTTTGATATTGGGGAATTAATTCGTAACTATGTAAATAACTCTGCAGGTTTTATCAGGACATGTATAAACCAATATGTAACTAAGAATTTATTGTTCTAAGTTAATTAACCACTAAGATATCACAAGCCGTTTTGATAATTAAGAAGCTTACAAATTAACTGTTCACTTTACTCTTTTTTGTTAATGCCCTTACCGACCATGAAATCAGTGCATGCTGAAACTGGCATTATTGATGATTATATCATCATTTGGTGTAGGCAAGCAGTAAACTTAGCTACCTTAGATGACAACCTCAAATGTTTAATTCATTTTTTTTTTTTTTCAATTTTATTTAGTCATTCGCCAGTAGTAGTAGTTTTATCTTAAGCATAAACAATGAAATGGCGTTCAAGTTCGTGTACTAAACCAATCTTGTGGGAGTTTAACTCTTTTCTTTTGTGAGCACTTTGTCACGGTGGCTATATCTACTGGCCACGCGAGTGAAAGCGCTCAATACTTTAGTAACGTGTTTGATTCATATTCCTATTCTTGACTGCATATTTTACATTTCTATACAGGGTCCCATTTCAGCCACGGAGGTAAGTCTTCCATCCGGAAAACCCGGATGTCAGACGAAGAACTATAACTTTCAAGAAAAGGCCTCCAAACCGTCCTGGAAAGCAATGACGCAAGACGGGATAACATTTAAGGTTATCTTTGGCCATGACAAGGCCATGTACGGTAGATATCATGGCCTAGAAAGACTTCTACCACAGACGGAGAAGTACGTTAGATTCTACAGAGGCAGATGGTTCAGTGGTGAGAGTGCTGACCGGATAGATATAAAATCAGCTTGTAACTGGGGTGGATCCTTCCATGTTGAGGGCGACGATCGTAGGATATGCATTCTTGGCATGATTCTGAGGTAAAAATAACAATTATTCCACGAGCACGCTTTGGATGTGAGATGATTGCCAACGAGGCGCGTGGGGCCGAGTTTGCTGATCCGTCCCCATTAAAAGCCATTTTTGTGGTGGGAATAGACAGCAGATCTTAGCTGCGTACTTGATCACAGACGAGTGTAGTCAAATAAGTTTGTTCAAATAGGCTGGAGCGAGCTAGCCATTTTGTTAAAAAAGGTTAAATGTTGAGTGTTAATAGTGGTCGATGCGCTTAGCTAAAACTAGCTATTCCCCAGACATGCCACTCAAACTGAAAAAGTATTTCAAATAACTTAGTAGGCTTAAAAATCCCCAACTGCAATCTCCAACTAGGGTCTACTGAGAAACAACTCCAGCTTAGTGATAAGAGAGGGACTTGAACCCGCGACTTGAACCCGGATTTCAAAACTGCTCAGTAGGTCAGGCGGCCCCTATTGCAGTGAAAGGCTTTATAAGTGACCAGAAGAATTTTACGATTTTCAGGTACGACGCTGCGACTGGATTCCTCATTTTGAATGAGAAAGACTTCAAAATCACCAAATGGGCTTGGCCGTCCCTGACAGAAAAAAATATCAACTCCGTCATGGCTCGGGTGGAGTGGCCTGGAAGCGAGATTTTTAAGTTAGATGAAGTGATTGGATATGTTCCATGCAACGTAAAATGGTCCAATGCAATGCGTTTTGATCCAAGCGAAGAAGAGGGAAAGTGTCTGCATTTCATCCTTGTAACTGAAGGAACTGCATATGTCATTTTCTCCGCGGTTCCAAACGACAAAAGCGCTTGGTACTATGTGCAAATCTCTTCGCATGGCGTTGGGATTTACAAGGTTTGTTAACAACATATATTAGGCAATTATACTTCCATGATTTTAAACCGGTTTTTTTTTTTTTGGCTTTCTTTTTGTCGCTCTCAGTAGCTACGCGGATGAAAACCATACTATATCATGGGCTTCCCTTGTTGAAACGTCTTTAAACTTAATTGGTAAATATGTAAAACGTTTATGGTTCTCTATGATCTGAAATGCAAGAACCCAAACCGAACGGGAGGTATTGTTTAGCCTATCGTACTCTCCCACGTATCCTCCATGGTCTCGCGTAATTGATAAGAGAAACTTAGATGGAAAGTTGCTCAGCAGAATTCAGAACTATTTCTAATTCTCTCCATAGAGGTAACATTTTTTTTTAGGGGAGGGGGATGAGATAGGGAGGAATGGGCGAACAGAAGTAACTATACTCTGGTAATATAAAGAGCGTGGAGTGTTGGTTGAGAGAAACATATTGGGAGAGCTGAATGTTATTGTGAACAGGATCTCTATCCTAGTTCTTCCGTGCTTCACAGGCTCCCCTCGCTTTTCGTTTTCTAGATTTTTGTTAGGATATATAAGAAAGCAAAACGGTTCGGAATAACATATTTACGTCGTAAACATTAACACTATTTCTTTCACAGTCTCAAAAGCTGATGGTTTCTACCCTTAACATCAACGCTGTCGGTCTGGGAAATGGCATCCTTTATCAGTCTTACTTTGTGTGTGTGAAAGAATCACCAGAGGGAACTTTGATTGAATATGGAAAAAGCCAGGGATTCACAGAGAACCGCGACGTCTTCCTCACCATGAATGACACACAAAACCCTTTTTATTCTCGTTTCTATTCGTTTGGAAACGGGGAGGATCCTGTGCAGGTGGTGGACGTCCATGTTTTGTCGCGTCGGTTGTCCAATGTCAAATGTCGCGGTGACACAAAGTTAGACGAAAAAACAAACCTATGTGTGCAAGATTGTCACGAATTATGTGATCCCGCACAAGGTATGCAGAAAAATAAAACCAGAACAGAGACTTGAGATATTGGCGATTTGAAACGAACAACTTACATAATGTACCATCTTCCGCTGCAGTCAACCGCGCCGCAAACGTTTCCCGCCAAAACTGCCTCTTACCAAACTGCCTCTTACCAAATCCTCCACTTTTAAGCCAGGCCGGTGGAGCTTTGTCTATTAGTAGAGCTTACTAATGCTTATTCACTTAGCTTGTAATTTGCTTTACCACTTCTTTTTTAACAAATATTTCTGACTTTCAAATGTCTTGCATGTTTTTGCCTCAAATTCTTACAAACTCCCAGGCAACGGAAACCGGAACTGGCGTAGAAGTTTGACCGCGCGCTTTGAACAATTTGTTGCCCAGTCTCTTGAAGAACCCTAACTGATCATTGGTTTTAAGACTAGCTAGTTGGTTATTCATGGTTAAAGTTAAATTAAGACAAGAAAATATCATAGTCTCTTGGTGAAGACTTATCGTTTATACCGCCAGTGACGGTGTTAAAACTTCTACGAGTTAGCTAAAAGTCGTTAATAATAAGCACTTCTTGTAGGTTGCAGAGGTAGCCCCGGTGGGACACCTTTGGCCTCAGACTGCAATGCATGCTTGTACGGTGAAAATGAGGAAGGCGAGTGTCTCGCGGAAGAATAAACGGCAATCAGCTGATATAGGGGATCATGGGAAATGTTTTGGTAAGCCCTTATTGAGTCAAAGTAGAAAACTTAAAGGGACCAACTCCTGAACTGTTTGTAGTTTTTGTTTCACCTTTGGTTAACGTGTTCAGTGATTAGAACAAAAGTCCTTCTTATGGAATCTTTTTTACCCCAACCAGCTGTAAGGTTTTAAAACAGGATTTGTTTCATCTTTTAATTTTCGTTCATCCGTTCTCCCGTTCGTTCATTCCTTGCTGCCTTCCTTTGTTTGTTCGTTGTTTTTTTTCTGTTATTTCGGTGGCCTCGTGGTTAGTGCGCTTGTCTCCTGATCGAGCTGTCCGGGTGCGAGCCCTGGTCGGGACATTGTGTTGTGTTCTTGGGCAAGACACTTTACTCTCACAGGAACTCTCTCCACCCAGGTGTGTAAATGGATACCGGCGAATTTTAATGCTGGGGGTTAACTTTCCGATGGACTAGCGTCCCATCCAGGAAGGATTAAAAATACTCCAAGTCGCTTCATGCTCCAAAACCCGGATAAGCTCCCACCTGATGGCCCACTTGGCTCGTATGCAGACTTTACCTACCTAACCTTTGTTTGTTCGCTTATTTTGCAGGGAACGTGTTATTATCATCATTATTACCATCAAAAATCGCAAACGACGGGGATGACGAGAGAACAGAATATCGAATAGAAGAGGAAATTCTTTATGTTTCCAACGGGATGAAAAATTTGGGAAATAATTTTTTATTAACCATCGTGTAATTTATTTTTGTTTTGTTTCGAAATGCAGTCTAAACACGGCAGAGAGTGACTTGGGATTTTAGAAAACGTTTGGCAATTAAAAATGTGAGGCAAAATGGTTTATATTACGATGTATCGTTTTTATTAAAAGGGTATAAAGTCAGCTTCTCTGTGTCTTTCGAGGTGGTGAGGTGGTAACCATGGTAACATCTAGTATACCAGCCTCCTATCCGGAAGGGATGAAACAACTACGGTACTTTATAACATTTCTTCCTTATATCGTATAATCGTATTGCTGCATATCGAGGTAAAAATTATATTCGACAATTAATTAAGCTTTGGGATCAAAAGAGTTTTTTCGGTTGGTTTAATTTCGAGAAAGCTCTTTATCACTGATGCATATTATCAGAATAAAATTGCGTATAAAACATTTTTTGCGGTTTTATACATTTGGATTAGATGCTGATGTACAGGGTAAACTTCGCTAAACGTGAAGATGTGAAGTAACACAGTGGGTCATTAGCTGAATATTAAAGATCTTTAAGCCTACAGTAAAATACAAACCAATGTTCTTCCCAAGGGGGCCTGTATTGGGAAGAAGCCTTGAAACGTTTGAAGTCAGTTGTCCTTTAGTAGCATTTAGAGTGGTTAAACAGACGATTCGACTGAGGCCTTGAGCTTTTGTTGTTCTTTTAATTTCAAGCTTTCGCCGATCTACGGCATCGTCAGGGAATGTAACTTTAACTTGACAAAGTTAAAACAAGTTCTAAGGGATAATATTTGGAATGGCCTTTTTGCTTTTATTGTCGCATGGAATTTTTTTGCGTCTGGTATTGACAATTGGAATGTATTCATAGCTGTTAGGATTAGCTGACAGTATTTCTCTTTTGTTTTCCTCAAATAGCACCCAAGAGCAGAAGATTATGGTGCAAAATCGATCATCTCGTAAAAAATAGAGGAATATTTTTCCTTCCTTCCAGGACCGCGCTATTCGCCGCATTTTTCGCGATTGCGAATCTTCGTTTTCTTAGTAACTGCTTTGAACCCAGGATTATCAGTAGTTCGTATAGTGCGATCGTCTGGGTGAAGGTAGTTCTGAAAAAAAAAAATGTTGCTGGTGAATGACATTTCGACAACCTGAGCCGAAGTCACCGTTCAGAGTCAAGTGAATAGTGTTTGTCAGTCGATGATGTATAAGTCTGGTCCGTAACTGATTGGTCAGTTCAGCAGTGATGGTATTGGCTGAAAGACTCGTGTAAAGATTGTCAACAGTCATTGGTCGGTTTCGATCCATCTATTGTTAGTCAAATTAAGTCGGCATGTTTCTTCTCGAGCCAAAGATAATTTGCTCGTAGCCTGTTATACGTTAGTGGGCACCCACAAGGTACTATTTTGATTTCAGAGAGCGCATTGTCTTGTGTATTGAAGCAACAAACCCAAATTAGGTACTTTATAATACTAGTCATAATACCTGGGTTCACAAAACTTCGCAACCCTTGGGGAGGGCTTGTGATTGGGGGAGCTTATATCGGTGGGGTGGAGGAGTGGTGTATACAAATTGGGTTTTCACTGAATGAACTGGCAGGAACTGGCTCACAGCGGTTGTAATGAGTGTTCAGTATATTCAGTTTTATAAAAGTCGTCCTAATGGGCCATTTCCGAGTTACCTTGTGTCTCTGTTTCAAAACGAGTGTTCGTGCAAACCTTTCACTTGAAAAGGAGTTTAATTTACATGAAAATAAACCTGTAGGTAGAACTCATTTTCATATGAATGGTTTTGCACGAAGACTCGTTTTGAAAGCGAGGCAAAAGGCAACTCGGAAATGGTCTATTAAACCTTTTTGATCTGTAATCTACTTGCATATTTGCTCAGCCTCTTTCCTATTGAAAACATAAAACAGAGAAGCTGAAAGCTTTTGAAAAAAGGAACGTTAAAAGTTCTCGAATAACCGACTTTCCCCTTGTTAGCACGAGACGGTCTTATAAATTAACGGGGGGACTTATCAGTGATGATGCGACAGGGGGGGGGGGCTTATAACCGATATATTATATGGTATTATTACGTCAGCAACAATTTATCAAGAGGCCTGAACTTGCCAGATCGTACCAAAAATAACATCAAACAAATTCACGGGAGAAATTTTTTTTGGATCTTTCCTTTGTTATTTTTAGCTTTGTAAATCAGAATGGTTGAGTAGCTTCCACACAATGCTCTTAACACAACTTGAAAGCAACTTATTTCAATTGGACTGAAGCTTTAATTTACGTATTACATTGACTTTCGCCGTCTCGATAGGGATTAGCGTTAATCATGAATAAAGACGAAATGAAATTTAGTTATCGGCGAGAACTCTTAAAATGCCGGTTTCTCCAGTTCGTTTCAAAAAGACACTATTAACTTGAGCACTTAGCAGCTGGTATAGTCTTTCCGGCAGATTATGACGTTGCTCTTTTAATATATCTATTGACATGAAATGGAAAAAAAAAGTCTTAAAATAAATTAAATTAAATGTGCTCTTGCAAAAGCATATGTTGAGTTCCCATGTTGTCTACAGAAACAAGCTTAGTGGTAAAGAAGGATGCAATTAAAATCTCCACGGGATATTACACAAATGATAAATGAATTGCAATCAAGTGTAATCAAGATAAGCCAATAGTAAAGTTTGAATTTTATTCCATGCTATGGTGTCGCTTAAAATCTTAGATCACAAGACTGTTAGATCGCTCTTGAATAAAATTAAATTAAACATATATATTTATTTGCAAACTTGATTTCTGTTATCACTTTAAGAAAAATCAAGAGAAAACATTTTATTTTTGGTGCAAAATGAATAACGTTAAGAAACTAACTTAAAATTTTCATTTTAACTCGTACGAGGTTCATAATATTTTGTTTTTAGACAAAACCCGTTCAAAACAGTGTCTTGTTAAATCTCCTACTGGTCTCAAACCATGCATTCTTTGTTTTCTGAAAAGAAAATACACATGCAAAAAAGAAAAGCTTTTTATTATGAATAATATAGGATATATAAGCTTTGCATTTGTAGTTGCGACTGCATTGTTCAAAATAAGCTTAAGCTTCGCTATGTTTTAGCTTCTGTTGGGCACTCGCTCTTATTTACCACTTAAAAAATTCTAAATTGTTTTTATTCCACGAAGATGTCCGAGGAAAACTCATCTTCATCTATCGAACAGATGACGAGCGTTTCCGAGCCAGGTCCACTCAAATGGACGTTACGTGTTTTATATATCTCGGTGTTTGTCGTCGGCATTACGGGTAACTTAGTCGTATGTTATGCCGTAATGAGACGTAAACGCCTTCGTTCAAGCAACAACCTTTACACCTTCAACCTCGCTTGCGCGGACCTCATTGTCGTGACCATTTACGTCCCCACGCAAATGACAGCTTTCGAGAACGAACACAACTGGGCTTTGGGCGACACGATGTGCAGAATCGCTTATATAATAATTCCACTCTGCTTGTCGGCGTCAATTGGTTCCTTACTCGCCATTACAGTTAACCGTTATCGTGCGATGGTCTCTCCGCTGACGCCTAAGCTAACAGTGTGGAAGATCCAGTTGATCATCTCTGGCATATGGGTCATCTCTCTACTCCTAGCATTGCCGATTATCTTTGTTGCAGGGACAGAGACGAGTGCAAACGGGCAAGTGTACTGTTCTGAACCCGGCTGGCCCAAAGATTCAGCCATCGACAATATTTACTGGATATCAATTTTTGTCCTTCAGTACGTCGCACCTCTGATCGTTATTGCCGTGCTATCAAGTATCGCTGCTTGGAAACTAAGAGCCAATTCATTGTTCAACAGAAAGAGGGATTCGTTAGTCGTTACGAAAGCCGTGCGAAAACGGATGCAACAGGGAGCTAAGATTACTAAAATGCTACTTGCGTTAGTATTGATTTATGCTATTTGTATGTTGCCTCAACACGCGGTGTTTTTTTGGATGGAATATGGAAACCTTAACCAGATGGGATTCAAAATGTATATATTCAGGTTCTCGAATGTTTTTCCCATGGCGAACTGCGCGTTGAATCCTATTGCATACGGGACACTGAACAAAGAGTTTGCAATGGTTTTCAAGAGCTTATTAAAACGCAAATGGCACTTCAAAACGGCCATTTGTTGCAGACAGAAAGCAGATCAAAGGGTGGAAATACTTGACGCTAAAGTAGGTTGTGACATCCTACTGAAAGACATTTGACAGGTCGACAATCAGCTCAGAATGAAACAAAATGGAGATCAAAAATGGAAGTCAATAAGCTTACATGCATTTAACTTAGTTTCTGACATCCCCGGCACGGCCAGATGGTATAAACAAACCCCGGGTTCTCGGTATAACGTTCAGCAAAGGGCCGGTTTCCATATACTCACCAACGACGGTGGTAGTTTTTTATAAACACAAGAAATACATCGAAAGGTCAATAAATTCTGACGCAGTATGTTCTTTAATTCACCTGCTTGAATCTGATTACCAAGCCTAGCAGAGGATAATTATTCAATCTTGTCATTCGGCTTTTTATTTATACTCACGATTTTAGTCCTAGTAAAAACTACTTATAATAAGTAGTTTTTGACAATTGCAATCGTCTCATAAACTGAAAAATGTTTTCGTTACTCTAGTGAACATATATAATAATCCGCTTCAGTGATGTTAAAAAACTGGGTTATTATTTGAGGAAAAATCTAATCTTACAATCCATCGTGAAACGAAAACGAAAAGACAAACCATCATATAAGGTGTATAGTTCGTATATGGCGGTAAATTTCTTTGTCGTTAGACCCAAGTTACACGCCCGGGCTCGAATTTGAAAAAATAAATAAATAAATAATAATGCTACTAGTAATAACAAAAACAGTTGCTTCATTAATGCTACACTGGGATAGATTTTTGCCGTACTCTCTCTATTCGGCGAGCGCCATCTTCGAAGTCAAAGCTGAGAAGAGGCCGCCAAAACGTGTCAATAAGTCCTGCTATGGGAGCCATGGGTAAGTGCTTTGTTCTTTTCTCTGATCATGTCGCTCGTAGTTATTCAATATGGCGGTTGGCCATGCCTCGGCCTCAGTCCCTGGAGTAGGTTTGTCCGGCTCATATTCGATATAGCGGATCGACGATCAAACGGAAAAATAATTGAACGGGACAGCCTGGCTAGCCGCTTGAAAGACGCTTTTTATTTCATGAAAACGACATTCATTTAAAACAAATTATTTTGATTTAATTAATCTTAGCAGCGTTAGATAAACACGAGCATCTCGATCATGTTCAACCCTTCGACAAAACCTGCAGATCCTTGTGGAAACATATAAAAAAACATATAAAGAGGAATCCCGATCTCATGAACCCTTAATTTTTGGAACCCTCGGTAAACTCGAATCAACATTGCTTCCCTTCCCTCGTTGAATATCCCCCCCCTCCACGATTTCTCGAACTACCCGATTTTCAAGCCAATTTTTCTTTCCCTTGGAGGTTTGAAAGATTGGGATTCCACTGCATAAATTAAAGTTCATTATTGTATGTTGTTGTTTAGTTTAGTTCAAGTTTACGTAGCTAATCTACAGGTATAGTGCTACATATTTAATTTAACTTCAAAATCCCAAATCCTTCCGAAAAATCCCCTAACTAATTTTTCACACATTTTGTGTTATTCCTCGACGAAAATAAACAAATAAAACCCTGCATTAACGGATTAATTTTACATCTCCTTTTCTGTTCTGATTCTAACAAAGAGCTTCGCACCAATTTTCTTTCGGTAATTAAACTGATGTTTAAAGTCGTTGTAAATGTTACCATGACAAAGGACAGCGTTTCTGACAGTATCTCATAAAATCTTTTGGCACTTCTTGAATTAAAATAAAAGTCAAAACCAAATTACAGCGTGTTCAATCAGTCATTTTTTTTCGAGAACCAATGAACACGAAGGAATTTTAATTAAAAGATGGCAATACCGTGAAGATTGATTTAAGACGCTTGGTGTGTCTTTTTTTATTTGGGCAAGCAGGACTTACTATCAGTCAAATAGCGAAAACGAATTTTGGCAAGATCGGATTTCACTTTTTAGCTTTACGTCGATCCTAAAATGTGTGGGATACCACCATCTGCTAAAGAGTATTGAGATTCTGAACGCGAGGCTATAAACTAAAAGACTCGAATTCACACTTGACGTTGTTGCATAGAGCTGACATATACTAAAGGTAGGCATTAACGAACATATAAGTAAAATGCTAACTGTAATAACTAGAAAAAACAGAAAGCAATGCAAGGTGAATTACTGAATACCAAAAGTAGTATGCTAAACATTTAACCTGCTAATTCATGTTGAAACTAAAAGCTTTCGTGAAATCCTTCTTAGACTGAAAATGTGCACGCCTTGAATTGGTTGGAAGACAGTTTTTCATCGTCATTTTACTCAGCAATGCACTCGATTCATCTAATACGTCGACGGTTAAAGCGCTACTTTACACAATAACTTGGCAAGCTTCCGTTCCAAAAGACTGCAATTGGTTCCTTTCACTTTCTTTGTTATAACAACAAATATAACCTGCTTCAGTGTTCTTTTATTCTACATACATCTGTTTCAAAGGTATACAAAAAACACTTCGGAAGAAAACCATAGCATTTGCGCAAGAGACTAATGCTATTAGGTCTTTCTTGTTTTAAGCGAGTCTAAAAACATCCAGGGTCGAAGAAATACATAGCTTAATTATAATCTCTTAACACCCTCCCCGAAAATACTCCTGTTATCTAAACCTCAAAGAAGGAAGCTTATTTTAATATAAATTGCGTCCAGATTTACAGCAAACGAACAGAAATTAGTATCATTTCACCGCCATTCTCTGAAGTTCTGTATCAAAATTTTGTTATCTGACAGGTAATTGGTTATACTTAATGATTTACGCTAAAACTGCGCTCAACCTCGGTGCTTTTACTTCATTCGACCAGGAAGAAAAATAAGGAATAGTCCATATTTTCATGTATGCTCGTAAACCGATAAGTAGTTTTAGGCGAATGCAAGCCATTGGAACTCCGAGTTAATGAAAGCGGAAGCATAGCAGCTGAGCATACAAGCATAAAACACAATGTCCGGATTGAAAATATCAAACTTATTTCTATTGAAAGTTGGCAGGTTGACATAGTATTTGACGCACGTATTATTTTTTTTTAAACACGTACTGACTCCAGTCTATAATTTCAAAGGATATTTGAACCTCTAACTCGTTAGATTGTCCTACCACGAGTTGGTACGAACGATGTCGGTTTAAGCCGAAAAACTGTTGGGAGCTTCGTGAAAACGTAAACGGTTGATATGTGAATTACAACTAATTAATAAACATGAATATACTATAATGGAACACACCATAGTGTACGTATAGTTGGCGAGAAAAGCTTCAAAAGTTTGAAAATAGACAACTGCAAAGCGTAAATACGTCCATTGAAAGTAGTTGTAAAGGGCAAGTACAATCCGGGCGCAGAATATTTTATATGAGATGATATTTATTTTTCTTAGGGAAACTGACAAACAAAAAGCATAAAATTGATATCTTTGTCAGGCGCTGGAAATGCGTAAGTGACATATCTGTTCATTTTTGCTGCACAGAGTGCGCGCGAACGTCTACAGTAAAGAGTTAAAAAACATAAGTAGAAGGAAAATAAGCTACTTAATTCAAACTTCCGCTCAAGTTTGAATGATTATCTATTCGATTTGAGCTCGATCCCTCATTTATTACTCGCGGATATGGCTGTAATTAAAGCGAGGTCTTTGTAAAGAGGCTCGGCGAAAAAGTTATGACAGTTTGTGAACATTACATCGCGTCTTTGAGGGGGGATAATTTGCATACCAAACACATGACAACACTGAGTTATCTCTGCACAGCTGGTCTGGGTAAATAAGCTTTTATACAATCTCCAATTACTGAGAAGAAAATTTAAAGTAAAAACAAATAAGATCTGCTAAGTGAAATGTATGAATGACAACTACACTTATCTAACCCTAAAGTAGAATTTTCACACCGTCAACCGCGAGAGCTGACTTGAATGCGTGAAAACCGTTTCAATGCATTAATTCTTTCGCATAACGATGAAAACCAGCCGTGGAAAACAAATAATTCTTATTGAAGTCATAAAGAGCAACAGAAAACAATCACAATATATAGAAATAAACCTGATTGGATGAGGATGAGTTTCCCGTTTTTATTAGTTTTCCTCACGTACGCTTAGTCCTCATGATCAGGATGCTTGGGGGACAGCCTTCGAGTGGTTTCTGGTAATAACACAAATCGTCTGTTCACAAATTGTTTTCGGTTTGCTCGTTGTTCACAATAAGAATCACTTCGTCAAAAGAAACAAAACCTCTGTCGACACTGACGGGGAAACTATAGATACCGTACTGAAAAGATCGAGTTTGGGACAGATAAGTCCCGGGAGATACGTTACATCAGTACTGGCGCCCGGCTGCGCGACGCTGCTAGTCCGGTGGAGGATTTTCACGTATGTGCAGGTAATATCTGTTTTGATAAAACATCATTCGAACTGTGAAAAAAAATAAATAATTGTGAGTGACTATAGCTATAAAGAGATCGATATAGGAAGAAGCTAGTTCTGTCCACTGACGAGACTGGAGTGAAGTGGCCTCAAGCTACTGACCATTTCACAAATGGTCCGTTCTTGTCGCCTGTTTTCTTACAGCCAAAAAACAGCGTGTTCAACTGAATAGGCATATTCACTGGAAACCCCAGTAAACATCTCCTCTGATATTGGCGCACTTAAAAGGTTGAAGCCGTTTACAGCTATATTGCTATATAGGGCTTTTATCAAACCATATTTCGATTATTGCTGTAGTCCCTATGTGGGACGGTCTCAACAACGAGGTAATGTTAATACTGACAAATTACAAAAACTGCAAAATCGCGCCCTAAGGCTTATCACCAAGTTTGATTATCACTCTCAGTAGCCGCTACCGTCCTCTGCGGTAAATATGATCGGATAACCTAAGTATATCAGAAGGGGAAAAAATTGAAATTAATGTTTAAAACTACGACTGATCAGACTTTTTAAACCCTTTGACACGGACTATGAAAATGTAGGAGACTTGAAAATACGGTCTTGAAAATATGGTCGACAAATTAGCTTTGCCTAAGCTCCGTTCCGATTTTGAAAACTAAGTTTCTTTGTGGAATAGCCTTCCATCTAATTAGAGTCAGAACCACTAGATCTCTTTAACTTTAAAAATGAGACCAATCACTTGATGTCCTCCTCTTGCCCCCACACAGCAAACATGTAAATCAGTTTTTATTTTCTTTTTATATATCTCAACTTTGTAACTACATGATGTCAGTTTTATCGTGTCTCAATTAAGTATATGTGTGTATGTAGTTTTCAAAAAGCTGGGAGGGACCTTCAGATCTCGTATTCTCATTACCGTCACAACAAAATGTCTATGATAGTGATTATGGCTAACGATAAAGGGATCTTATACTAAGCTTCTTGTGGGTACAATCGTTGTTTGAAAACATTTAATATTGATATTAATCATTTTTATTGCTTTCTTTATAAGAATCCAGAAATATTCGAGCTCACGTGCGCTTTTTGTTATTCGAATTTAGAATGCGCTTGTATAAGTGCTTTCCACTGAATTACGAAGTTTCGGATATTTTATTCCTTCTAATGATATTGCCATGCGGTGGAATATTACTTTTAAGGTAGTTTTTTTACACTTTTGTTTTCATTCTTTACAATGCAAGTGTATATGTAGATGGGTCTTTTGTAGTTGAAACATGACATCAAAAATATCAAAAAATAGTCGTAACATGATATGGGTGCAGCGAAGGAACGATATGACAGTCTAAAAGGAATAGAAAACCGTGAGAGCAGGTGGAAGTATCTTACACTCAAACCAAGAGTGTATCACCTGCGAATACTTAACAATTATTAGACGAGCGTGCGTTTGATATGAGGTGTTAGATAGCCAGCGAGGTGCGCAGCGCCGAGTTGGCTATAATCATCTCATATCCCGCAAGCGCGAGTGGAAAAATTGTTTTATTAAAAACGCCCCCAAAATATAGAAAACTAACAGAAAATAACAATAACAACGAACCAAAAAATTATACTCTTACGTTTACCATATTTGTAGAGCATGGTACAGTGTCATATTTCATGATAGCTAAGCCAATTAATGAAAACTCTTGAACTGCATTATCTAATGATCCAGTTTTTAGTAAAAACTGATAACATTATATGACAGCTGAGTTACAAATGCTATTTACAACGTGAACTCTCGCAATTTTTTTTACCTCTAGACTCGGAAAGCATTGAAGTACGGTTACTTGAATAAAAAGAGTTGGCTGAAGAAGGACATCGCGCTCAGCTGTTATAACTGGCTCCAGACACGAAATCCGGCCGTTTGGCTCCCAACTAGTGATATTTTACCTCACCGTGCCTTATCTCGCTGACTACGCTTACAAACAGAATGAACAACACAACCACGTTTGATCCTGAATGCAATTCCGAGTCAACCTATATAAAATGGATTTTACGGCTGGCCTACTCTGTTATATTTATCCTTGGAACATTTGGAAACGTAGTGGTCTGCATAGCGATTCTCAAGCGGAAAGGAATGCAGACCAGTTGTAACATGTTTACGTTCAACTTAGCATTCCACGACCTGATCCTGGTCATTGTCTACGTTCCGACGCAAATGTTAGTTTTGGAAAATTGCTATCACTGGCCCCTTGGAGGCTTCATGTGCTATCTTGCTTACATAACACTTCCACTCTCGCTTTCTGTCTCCATCGGCACCCTGTTGGCCATCACTGCAGATAGATACCGCGCGATTGTTTTTCCAGTAAAATCCAGGCTTACCTACAAGACGGTGATGCTGATTGTTGCAGTGATTTGGTTGGTTTCAGCTCTGACGGCTTTACCTCTCATACTTATTCTTAAGCATTCCTCGCCAGAACCTGGAATATGGATCTGCTGGGAGGCCTGGCCAACGGGCAAGGCATCGGAAGCATACTGGGTATCAATGTTTGTGTTCCAATACCTTCTACCTCTGTGCGTCATAGCGGTGCTCGCAGGAATCACGGCGTATACTTTGAAGAAAAATTCCCTTCCGGTTGGCATGGAGACATGCGAACAAAGCGAAGTGTTCAGGAAAACCATTCGAAAACGAGCCAAGCAAACAAAGCGGATAACAAACATGCTAATCGCGCTTGTTGTGTTATACGCCGTTTGCATGCTACCGCAACATGCCGTGTTTACATTTTGGCTTAAATATCGTGACAGGGATAACGACAGCTACACTGAGACGGAATCTGTTCTCATGATTATTGCCAACATCTTCCCGATAGCCAACAGTGCACTGAACGCAATTGCATACGGAACATTAAACAAGGAGTTTAAGGCAGTTTTCAACGGTTTGTTTAAATGTTTATGCTTCGACGTGACCGCTCGCAAAGAGCTCTTTGAAAGACAAACAGTATCTGGGGAAGAAATGGAAGAAAGAAGAAAGAACGGCCGAGGTCTTCCTCTGCTTCAGGATCAGGAATGGAAAGACGGAAGTGGAGATATGGAGTCACCAGTTACAAGGAAGACATACGACTGTGACAGAGGCGACATAGGGAAGTCGTGCAACCAACGAAACAATCTGCCAACCCATGACTTGCAAGAATGCCTGTTAGCGACGGGAGGCGAGGGGTGTAGTAGAATGCAGGAACAGAAAAGAGGGCTGCAACACACTTTTCCAAGCGGTGATGACCAGGTTCACGAGGAGACAGTCGTGTAATTAGCAGATACAAGAGAGGCAGAAGAAAGGTAGGAGAGTAAATCCCCCATATACGCCTTATTCCCAAAGGAATCCCTTTTAAGTTTGTTTTAGACATGTTACCCATTTCTTCGGAGCAAAATGTTACCACGCGCGTTGGCTGGATTTTTCTTAAAAGAGAAAAGTGCGAGTAAAGTCGATTGGGCCGCGGTCACGTGAGTGAAATCGCGTCACAGGATTGGCTATCTCTTGACACTCGCGTGATTTTTACAACCTGGGGCCCGTTTCTCGAAAGCCACGGAAACTTTTCGGGCCCGCAAAGCCATTTTTAATTTAGTTAATCGGTATTTAAAGACAGAGAGGTGTAAACGCCTGAAACTTCTTGTGTGAAGATAGCCTCCGTTCATATTAAGAATATGTGAATAAAACAGCTCTGAAGTCATAAGGTTTGAGATTTTGCCACAGCTTTTTGGGTGCGAAAACTTTTCGAGAACTTCCAAACACGGGCCCTTGGGCCGGGTTGTTTAAATCCCGATTAATTTAAGCCAACCCAGGATTATAGCGAGAATTTTGATTTCAGTTTTGTAACTTTTGGGAGAGGTTTTCCATCTATAAAGCTTGTCTCACAGTTTTGAGTTTGAATAATCTCAAACTTCACAGAAAATAAGCAATGAAAAAACATTATTTTGGTTAACTTTTAATCCTAGGTTAGCGTTAACCGGCTTTCGAACAACCAGGCCCTGGAGTGATCTAAAAATAACTTGAAAGGGATTACCTTGGGAATGACGCCTATAGGGGGATTAATTCTATTACTCTTCATCCTCTCTTGGCAATGACCTACTAATCACATAATTAGGTCACATTTTATTAATGAAATTATTAACTATTTAATGAAATTAAAATCGCTGTTTGTCACCCTTTCAGTGGCTAACTTGAACCATAAGTGACAGGGACAATAAATTATGAGTCCCCGATTTGCGTCGTAATTTACAGTACTAAGCCGAAGTTAAGGCGAGCCGTTTATAGTACTTTTGTAAAATTTTAAGTAATAATTCAAAGGGATTGGATCCAATGAAAAGTTACTACTCAGGTCAAATAAATAGGCTGGGGAGTAGCAGCAGTAAGCATATGCATCGTTTTAAGGTCCATGCAGTAGCACACTGTTGGTTGAGTGCAGCGTGGCCAGCAGGCTGATGGTAACAAATGAATATATGAAAGATCATATATTTGAACTGCGGAGAAAGATACGAAGACATGATTGATCATCACAGTTGTACACACAACTTAAGCAGTTGTGCAATTAAAGCCCGGAAAAAAATTCAGGCTTGAACGAGATTCGAACCCATGAACTCTGCGATACCGGTGCAGTGTTCTGCCAACTGAGCTATCAAACCAACTGGGATCTGGTCACTTTCACAACTGCTTAAGTTGTGTATACGTTCCTAATTGCGATGTCATGGTCAATCATGTCTTCAGGCTGATGGTTACTAGGCAAGAACAAGTGAAATAAGCTAAGAATATTTTTAAACATCAGCTGTGTGTCGACTTGCGTTCTGCTGACCAGAGTAAAAATATACGGGGTCACTGGAGATTGAGTGTGCAAATCCGAGTTCAGTGCAGTTAAACTGAATAGAAACGGACCCATCCCGCCAAGATTTAAACCCTTGATGGCCCAAAATTTGAACCTAGAAACAAAATAATAATAACAAAAAAACAAACGCCAGCACATAAAATAACGTTTTAATAACTTTTATTTGGATGGTTAGACATTGTGGTTTCACCCACAGACTTTGACTTCACTCTAGACTTTCTTTACTTAAGACACATTGTTAAACAAAAAGCTTGAGTCTGGAAGTGAAATTGTTATTACGCGGCTAGCAAACAAATTTTCTGATAATGAAGGGTTACCAGCATATTCTTGTTGCATACAGTACAATAGTTATCATAATTACCGAATGTAAGGTAAATTGGTAAGAGCCAGAGAAGCAGCTATTTTCGATCAGAAATTTGACTTAGCCTTTCAGACATTCCGCAATTCCTGGCAAAAATGTGCCATTAAGCTACTTAAGTATAAGCAGCTATTTTTATAGAGTAAAACCCCGAGTTTTCGAACCCTCTATTTTCGAACCTCTTGATTAATTGAAGCGACTGTTTGCTCCCTTGGTTAAAAAAGTTAAGAGATATTTACCTCTTTTTTGAACCCTCCGAACATATCTAGATAAGACCATTATTTACGATAAGCAGCTGCCAGTAGAAGATTAACAGGGGAAGGGAGGGGTCGGAGGGGGAGGGGGGCTTTCAGATGATGCCTGTTTTGCACCAATTAGACAGTGTGGATGACATTTTCGATTACTTCCATGTAACCTTTACTTTTCAGGCACAACGTAATTGCCTCCCTTAGATTCACAACTGGCTTGTGGCTTTGTGGTTAGTAACTGAAAATCAACCTAATAACGATTCTAGTTTACTCAAATTAGGAATTGCTTTCGTTCTTCGACAAAAATAGAAATAAAGAATAGAGACTAAAGAATACAAAAGTCTCCATCTTGAATTGGGAAAGAGGCCCAATTAAACTGCTAATTTATTAAACAGATTTCAGATTCAGATTCAGATTTTTATTAATTGACACTATTTACAGACATATTTCACTATCGCACACTATTA